TTTAGTAGATTCGGAAGAGTTGATAGCCAAGAACTGCAATTTATGTGGAGTGCCCGACCGGGCATGGCTTGCCCGGGCAGACCGGGCAATGAGGAGTTCACAGGAAGAAGCCCAATTCTGAACGGTGCAACGCGCGCCCGATCGGGCAGGCTTCGCCCGGTCAGACCGGGCGATGAAGAAATCAAGTTATGAGATGCAATTTTGGAAACGTGTTACGCGCGCCCGACCGGGCGAGGTGCGCCCGGTCAGACCGGGCAAAGAAGGAAAACTGTCGTATTTTACGCAGCCTTCCTCCGCCCGATCGGGCGAGGTCCGCCCGGTCAGACCGGGCAAAGCTCAAGAACGCGTATTTTCTTATTTTTCCGAAATATTATCTTTTGGGGGTATAAATACCCTTTTGTAATTAACTTTTAGACAGTTAGTTTTTCATTAGTTTTCTCCTTAAGCCCTAGAAAACTCTCAAGAACCCTAGTTTTATTTTCTTAAGCAATTTCAATCTTTAATCCTAGTTTTATTAATTGTTCCTCAAGAATTCAAGATCATCAATTGAAGTATTTGGTATTTCTTACTTTCCATCTCTTTTATTTATTTTATAGTTCTTTAATTATGTGTTCTCTATTAGATCTTGTTTTTGATTTAATTATGATTTGTGAGTAGTTTCCTTAATCCGGGATCTTGCTAAGCCCGATTATGATTGATGTATAAAGTAGATCTTTAAATTCCCCAATAATAATCCCAATTGACATGCTTAATTGATTGTGTTTATGCCAATACTAGATTAGGGATAATTAGTATTGTTATCATCCCTTTGTTCTTATTGCAACGGAAGTTGGGTATTAACGGGATTAGGTTATTTCAATTAAGGGTTTGAAGATCATCACGGAAGTAGATGATTGAATAATTAGGAATCTAGGCATGGTGTTTAATGTCCCTTATTCGCTTGATTCCACGGAAGTAGGCTTGATAGTTAATTTGGGAAGCCATTGATAACTCGGAAGAGACCTTTGGTATTATTATTAGGGATTGCTTTTCTTCTTGTCAATTGATTTATATATTGGGGGTAGATTTATTAGTTTATCAATCATAATCGTGGTGATGCTTGATCTTGGATGCTTTAGTTTATTGATTAATATTTCCTCTAGTTAATTGTGTTATTTAATAAATTAGTTGATTATTATCATCCATTATTGATTGGTCACGTGCTTAGTGATTAATTGAGTCTGATTAATTGAATGAACCATAGTCTCTTGGGATTCGATCCTTACTTGCCCTACTACACAGTTAGAAGGAATAGTTAGGTTATTTTTGTTAGGTACGCGATAAGCCTATCAGATTGTTTGGTCAAGTTGAGACTAAGGAAGGATATATCATAAAGGTCTTCATAGACTTCAAATAGCCAAGTTTTCAATACGTTTGGAAAACATTTAAAACTTGATTGCATGTCTATTATTGTTGAAGAATCGAAATTCCTGATTTGAGACATATTACAGATCATAAAATCAATTTACTCATTTTTTGGCACATTTGACCATGTTACTACATAGTACATAGCATATACTACTTCCTTTGTTTAATGTAAACGCAACTTGTTGATAGTTAATAGCGGTCTCTAATATTGTATTTTGGTCAATAATATGTTTGATTATATATTAACATTAATAAATATATACAAGCTATTTTAAAACTTACACTTTGTGACAAATTTATCAAACTTTCACATGATTAAACAAAGAAAATTTCATTTTTTTGATATGAAGTCATGAAAGTTTATAAAATTTATTGACCATAAACAAGAGAGATTAGATGTTGAATTTACTTTTGGAATGGAGAAATCAAGTATGCAACCATTTTTTTAGATTATATATGTATAACTTTCTAGGGTTAATGTATATTTTTTTTCATAGAAAAGCCCAGTCTCATTGGGCTAGATGTTGGAATTTATACAACATGAAAACTTCATTTAATTAAGTTAAATCATCGAATTTTTGGAGAATGAATTTTCCTATAAATTCTAGTTCGAAGTAATCAAAAAACAAACAATTACGTTTATATTTATTTCTAGCTAATATGTTCAATTTCTATGACAAAAAAGCAAGTTAGAAATTTGTGACAAATTATATTGTGGCAATTTGAATGTGCTTTAATTTGGTAAATTGTTTAGTGTTAAAACTATTGGACTTATGACTTATTTCCGATATTTTCAAATTACAATTAAGTTAAGTCCGGCGTGCTTCATCACTTATGCTACCTTAAGTGAAGTCTAGTATTTTTCATCAGATCGTAATGATAGCTAGGCAACCTATTTGCTTGGGAAATTTTGTACTTTTTAATAAACACGTATTTACGGAGCTCTTTCGTCTCTTCTCTTCCATCGAGTCCAAGCATATATATAGAGAGGGCCATAGAGCACCAAATCATGTTGCCTTTTTAGGTCATTTCATACAAACACACCTGGATATTGATCCTTTTTTAGATAGTAATTTTTTTTTTTATTTTAGTATTTCAGAGTTCAGATAGGTTGAGTCTTGAGAGAAAAATAGTATAACTTCTTGTATCTTTCATTCTAAAAAAAAATGTACTCCCTCCGTTCCCAAAACTTCGACCCTTTTGGGTTGATTTCGCGGTTATATATTAAGAAACTTAAATAAAAAGAAATAATAACATATTGGAAAGATAAATTTACATGGAGTTTGTAAAAAAGTAGAGAGATAAAATATTAAAAATACATGAAAAATCAAAATTTTATATGGAGAAGCTAATTTTGCACAAATATTGTTGTAAATTGGTGGGTATTTTAATGCAAATAGATCGATCATTTTGGGACTAAAATTAGGCTAAAAGGGTCGAAATTTTTAAAACGGAGGGAGTACTAATTACTCAAAAAAATTTAAAAATTATAATGTGACAATTAGTGTCTATATAATTTACGAGTATTAATCTTATAAAATCTCTATGATTTAATAATTAGACTAGGTGATGATCAAATGATTCACTTTTTGAGTCAATTATATTTTTGTTGGCCTATAAAAATTGCGGCGGTATAATTGTAATTAATACGAGTACTAAGCAGTTGAGCCTTTTTGGTACACGAACTTCGATGCAAGACTTTTTTTTAGTGACTTTTTTTCCTATAAAATAAGTTTGGTGTGTTGCACTTTAAGGAAAAAATAATTAAGAAAGAAAAATTACTCGTATAATTGGCCGGTGGACTGTGATTGGATGTTATATTCGTGTCTCAAATTTTGTACTCGTAACTGTTTCATTTTTCATGGCCGGTGTTATTTCATGCAGTCGTGTAGTTTGTGGTTATTACACGGGTATGTTTATTTGACACTTTGACCATATACTTAAATAAAATCAAATTATACAAGTATGAATATATTAATGAAAATGAATCATCTAATTATATTACGTAATATATCATATATGAATATAATAAAGGAACTATTAAAAAAAAACGTCAACTTTATTAAATTATCGTTTAGAGGGGTTGGTTTTATATGCATGCACTCACGTACTAATGTACTATATCCTTATGATAAAGGACTCTTTATGGACTTTAATTTGGTCCAACATCATATTGTTGCTTATTAGGCTCCTGCTTTAATTTTCTATAGCCTTATGACAAAGAAAATACACCCTTTAAATAAATTTGTGTTTGTCTCATTTTTATTATTTTGTATGCTATTTGATATATACTGTACGTAGAATAATATCTGATAGAATTGTCTTTTAATGTGTAGAGCAAGCTAAGGTACGTACCATAATTTTTACATTCAACAAATGATATACTTGATCGAGGTGCAAGAGTATGTAGCTTGAACAATATATCAATAATGATCCCACTCAAGTACTCGACTACTCGAGCAACGAGCATACTTGGGTTGGGTCTGCGTCTCACCAAAGAGAAGGGACATATTATTGTTGGGGGTTCTAATACGCTCACATTTGTATAATTTACCTAAATATTGGTGAGTCAACAAGGTAAATATTAAATATGTATGTACTCACATATATAATTGAGAATTATATAAAGAAGTTTAATTTTTGATTCAATTCAAAGCTCAATTACGACATGTTATAAATTTGAGAGGGAGGGTTTTCGCTTGTATATTATGATTAGTACGAAAAAGACTATCCTATTAACATGAGTTTAAATTAAAAGCACATATAAATCGTTCAGCTTTATAGGTCATACTCTTAAGAGCGGAGATAAATCAAAGAGTAAGATATAGTCTCACCCTCAAAAACTAAAATTGGTAGAGATCGATCATTTGACCAAAAGATCACATACACGGTGAAATCTATAACACACTATTTAATGCAAAAACTTTCAACTTTGACAATGTGACATCTTCAAGAGCACAAAGAGTGGAAACTTACGTGTCGTCCCTAGTGAATTGGAGTGATAAAATGAAATGAAGAAAACCCATTTTCGCCACGTGCTTAAATTAATCACTATATTTTTTGTGCCTTTTTCCTTTTTTCAGAGGTAATGGAAAATGTAAATCAATATGATCAAGAAAAGATTTGTTGAAAATGTATGTATTACGTAAATCAAGTAATTAACTGTCTAGGTGTACTAGATTGCTTATTTATTAGCATAGGAAATATGAAAATTTCAACTAAGTAGCATGAATTTGTTGTGAATAAGCAATACTCAAAATGAGAACCTACACTTAACATAAATCTTGCTCGCTGAGCGTTCTTTTTTTTTTTTTTGAAAAAATTGAGAACCTAGACCTTTAAAACTATCGGAATTGTATCACCAATTGCGTTGTCAATTGACTTTATTTAAATTAAATTTTAATTACGCAGTATAAAATTGAAATTTTTGGAAAACATCCATGTTAAAATTACGACCTGATTGGCAAATTAAAATGCAAGTAATTTGTTTATTTTTTTTATCCGTTAGCCTAATTTCTAGTAAACATAATAATAGGGAAAAAAAAATTATGAAGCCGAGTTCAACTTAGAATCAAACAATGTGGAATGCCCAAATCTATACGTAAGATATATGTACAATTATTAACATGTCTCAAAATTGTTTACAAAGCAATGCAAAGATACCACTAGTCTCTTTTTTATGAACACTACAACTTTCAGAGAGTTTGTTCAAGGACCTTCTAACAAGATTTTTGAGTGGACAATCTTCCACTAAGTTAAGGTATGTTTTTAGGTCATGACATTTTGCAACGTCCATGTTTCCCAAGTAGTACGATAGTTGCTCTGATTCGCTGTTGGCTAACCGGAGCTCACGCCCCACCTCGGCGTACACCCACCACTGTGTGTCCTCCACCCGAAATTGTTGGATCCAATTCAAGCATAATTCCGCCAATTGGTTTATTTTTTTGGAACCACTATTGTTACTAGGAATTCTACTTTCAACTTCTCCTAACCCAAAATGGCTACTATCACAATTACTTTTTATTTTACATGCTCGACTAATTATGTTACTTTTAATTTTACCAGGACGGTTAGTCTTATAGTTAATTTTATTGTTATTGTTATTGCGAGGATTTTTACTATTTTTTTCCTCGATTTCTTTAACAGGACTAGTACTTTTATTACTTATGTTGACAAACTCTTCATTATTATCAGTAACAAACCCGGGTACTTTAGTGATGAGATCACTTGGATTGACCACCCTTAATATTTTTGTCCCTTGCTTGTCTACAAGGGAACGGAAGCTTTGGTTTCCCACTCGTGGCCCACCGAAGGATATCACGGTCACGAGTGGGGCCCGCTCGAACGTAGTCTTGATGTCGTAGGCTGCCAACGTAGCGAGGGCAGCCCCGAGGCTGTGGCCGGTGATGGTTATACTAAGAGGCTGCTTGTCTTGGTAGAGCTCAAGGATCCGACTAACCTCCATTCTTATTGAGTCCTGGAGACTGGGCCACATGTCGGTGCCAGTAGTGTATAGGCTCAGAAACCCACTTTCTACCATTGGGGGCCCATCTAAGTCCTGCGGGTCCACATTGTCATTATTTAAAGATGTGGACCTGGGGACTGGGACTGGGGCTAGAGTGGCTCGTACGTTCTCTAGCCACTCTAGACACGTGGCGGTCCCACGTAAGGCGATGACCACCTCCCGGCGCCCCAGGTGGTCAATCATCGCCTTATCATTGCAGACTGCCACGTACCCAATCCAGTTGGTCTTCACCGGAGACCAGCTGGATTGGGCCCATTCGGGTACTTGAATCCCCGAAGTAACCCGGAGGTGTCGGGTAAGCCGAAACCCGGGTGTTGGCAACCCACAATCTTGAAAAAAAGACTTTTTCTTGTACTTAGATGACCCAAAAGAGGGTGATTCAGGGTCAAAATTGAACCCCCGGTACGTAGCCTCAATAAAGGACCCGTACCGGAGGATCTCATCTCGAAGATTCTCATCAAGTGGATCAAGTAACCCTTCCCAATCCCTCGCCCCCATATACTCCTTCCAGCGATCAGCAACACGGGGCGAGCCCATTTGCCTCACTCCACGACCCGACTTACTCGTTGTTGTCGTCGCTGTTGTCGTCGTTGTCGTGGTCGGTTTAATAGAATGATGAAGGAGGGACTGCTGAGACGACTGAAAAGTCATCATAAGTTGTTGAGTTTGTTTAGTGAGATTGCAATGCTGCTGCGTGGGGACATGCGGTGTTATACCGGAAGAAGGGATATCGTAAGGCAATACAAATGACTTCATAGACAGCCTCATTATATATAAATATATATATATTTGGGCTGCTATGATATTATTCGTACGAAAAAACTATATATTATACGATTTGATGAGATATGAAATAAAGTTATTATTATTGTTATTAATGAATGATGATATTTTTTTTTTAAGGGGATTTTTACATATAAGCTAATGTTGAAGAGTAGCTGTTATGTAGCAAAAAATAATGTTTGGGAATGAAGAGTTTAAGCATTGCCAAATTTATAGGAGTTGGAGAGGGGTAGAGGAGGAAAAGGCATAAAATGGAACAAGAGTGTGATTGTGACTAGTGTGAGAGTGACACTAAACGAGTAGAATCTCATTAATTGAATTTTCTTCTCTTGATTTTTTTTTTAATTTTTAAACCATATACTCCCTACATCCCTAAATTACATTCCTCTTTGGAAATTTACACGAGAATTAAGGAGGGAAGAATAAGACAAATAACAGTAATTAGATAATGCAATGAGAAATACAAAGATAGATTAGTTATTACTCATGACATGTCATCAATCCTTTGCAAAAAAAAAAAAAAAAAAGGACCAATCATATGCTCCTAATTGAAAATTTTTAACCAATCATATTCATTGTAATTTGGCACAAGAATTATGAGTGAGATTAGGTAAGGATGAGTGAGAAAACATTAAATATAAAACAGAAAAAGAGAGTTGATTTACTAAAAAAAACTTACCAAATATAGAAAGGAGGAAAGTAATTTTGGAATACCAAAAATAGAAAGAAGGAATGTAATTTAGGGACGGAGGGAATACTTTATTTTTTGTATTTCTTATTAATTGACATGTTATAACTTCGACGTTATTCATCATAGTATAAGTTTCTTTGACATCTTTTAATGATTTGCACTAAAAATAATAACAATCAATGAATAATATTTTGCAAGTTTCAAATTAATCACAACAGTTTTTGACCTGAATTGTGTGTTTATGCCCAATATAGGTCATTAATATTTGTAATACTCCGTAATACATTATGGGTACTAAAAAATTACATGAAGTTGATATAATGAAATTATACATAAAGACTAAGGGCCTGTTTTCTTCGGCTTATTTTCAGTTCAATTCAATTCAACTCCAATAAGTTTATTTCAGTTTGTTAGATTAATTTCTTCCTCTCATAAAATATTCAGTTCAGTTCAGCTCCAATAAGTTCAGTTCAGTTAATCAAAACAGGCCCTAATTCAAAAATATTTAAAATGATATTTGATTACACTATTATTATTACTCCATATTACATATTGATAAAAATAAACATATAATCAATGCAAAGTAAGTAACGAGCATATTGATGATATTATAAATAAAGTCAAATTGTACGTGTTACGATTAATCTAAAACCACAATGGTTTTAGACTTATTAATTTCAATTTTTTCCATAATTTAACATATTTATTGATTAATTAACTTCATTACATTCGTGTCAACTACTCTGTAATACAGAGTACGAGTATATATCAAACGGTGGAAGTAGGAATTTATCTAATAATTTAATTATATGTTGCATAATTTTGTCCTTAGTTATCATTTCCTATATATCCTATATTAATGGAAACTCTCAATTAAGGACCGAGTTTCTAAGTCAACTACCAAGTGCTAACCTAAAAAATTTTGACATCTTGAGGACATGCAACATGCATGCGTCCATGCATGTAGAGTTAAGACAAATGACAATTAGAGAGTGGAAGTATCTATATCTGAGCTACCAGTATCAACCCACCAGTTACTTAGGGTAGATTTTGTTCTTCACTCGAGTTGGTCCATACATTTTGTATTTATTGTATGGCATGACGAACAGAAATGGGCAGTCTCGAAAGGCTTCTCAAATTATATTTCAAGCATAATCAAACTGGAAATCGAACAAAAATCACAAATGAAAACGAACAAAAACCAAGCAAAATCAAACAGGAAATCGAACAAAATTGAACAAAACCGAACAGGAAATCGCAAAATCAAACAAAATCGATAAAAAAAAAAGTCAAAAAAATTGATGACCAAAGTCGCAAACTCGCAGTGCAAATCGAACAAAATTGATGAACAAAACACACAAAATAGCACAGAAATCGAACAAAATCGCAGAAAAAAATTTGATAAAATTACCAAATGATATCGAAAATTAAAAATCTGAAATCTAATCAAATTATGAAAAAAGAATATACAAATTTGATGAGAAAAAGTCGAAAAATCGCACTAGAAATCAAACAAAAATGATGAACAAAACACGCAAATCGCACAAGAAATCGAACAAAATCGCAGGAAATTTTTTTTGATAAAATTGCCAAATAAAATCGAAAATTAAAAATCTAAAAATCGCATAAATCAAAATCACAAAAATCGCAAAAATTAAAATCGGAAAAAAAAGTACCTGATTTGAGCAATTTAGGTTGTTTATGCGAAATTTGAACAAAAATTCTTCAATTTCCAGCAATTTGTGTTTAATTTTGGGATTTAAGGAGAGAGAAAGACAAGAGGTTTGCAAGTTTGAGGAGAGAGAAAATTTTGGACGGTGGTTTGAGGGAGGATATGTGTTTAATCTCAGCCGTGAGATTTGACAGGTCATAATCTACGGTCTTGATTATCCGTTTTCATGTTTTTAGCTATAGGCTTGTTTTTACATGATCCACACTCTATATATATATATATATATATATAGAGAGAGAGAGAGAGAGAGAGAGGTTTATATTAAACTATCCTCCTTTCACAATTCAACAGTGAAGTGAGCAATTCGGCTGACTGTACGTTGGAGAATCGTGTGTTTTTTTTTTTTTTTTGAACCAAGAATCTAGTTTTCCAACAAAAGATGAGAGATTCCAATTTTTTCAGCAGGGAAATATTTTTAGGGATTGCGGATGGATGGTAAATGAAATGCACAAATCTAATATATATATATATAAAGGGGAGTTTTTCCCTGAGTTTTTAAAGAGGCACTTAGGATTTAATTTTCTTAGCGCGCTATGTAGGATTATGAATTTAAGTAGTAGCCAATTAAATAAGAGATTATTAAATTCTTTTACAATTAAATAATTCAAATGACACGTAAGCAAAATTAGCAAATGAAATTTTAAAGTTTAAATTAATTAAATATAAAATATTATCTTTTGATATTAGAAATTTTATCTAATATTCTAAAACTAATATAATAACAATTTTAATCACATAAATATGAAAAATATTTTTTAAAAAAAAAAATACTGACAAACCGTGCATCGCACGGGGTTCATCTAGTACTATTTATAGGGGACCTAGCCTAATAATACACGTCCAAAATTCATCCATTTATATTTTCTTCATTCTCATTATCATTTATCACTATGGTTTTATGCTTATCTTTATAATATGACTTATACACTATTTGTCTTTCTATAAAATCATTATTCAAGATTAATTTGTTTGTTTTGGACGGAATATATTTTTAGAAGAAAAAAAATTCAGATATTTTTTTTCTCATCAAGAGTGAATCACTACATTTACCGATTTAAAGAGGGGATTTCACAGTTTCATTCCTTTTATTACTATTAGCATTATTTCCACTCACTCTATGCGTCAAACAATATCATATTACACTGTAATTAAGAATTTAAGTAGTCCATCTGTTTTTTTTAATGCATCAATTTGACATGCATCGATTTGACCTGCATATTTGCCGAGACACAACTTTGACCATTAATATCTTTAATTGACTATTAGTAAAAAATATATTCCGTAACAAAATTAATTTCATGAAACTAGACATTAGGGCTAATTTAATGATATATTATATAATAACATTTATTTATTTTATAGAATGAAAAAAATTAAGCCAGTCATGATATGTGAATAGTGCAAAAGTCAAAGTGATACATAAAAAAATGAGTATATAAATAAGTAATTTTATTACACGAGAGAGAGGGCGGGTGGATGAGGAGCAATGAATACAAATAAGTAATTTTATAAAATTATGTCAATAGTTAGAGATTGTCGGGTGGTATATTACATATTTACAATGTCTAAGAAAATATTTTTGTTCTAAATTCAAAATAAAACCTGAATTTTCTTTCTAATTGATAGTCAATTTATAATTTCCACACCTATAATAGCATTGAAATTAAATTTTATGTGGATTTTGGAGGATGACTCCATGGGAAAAGAAAATAGCAAAAGATGGGAAGTTGACAAAAGGCGTTGACGAATGTAAAAAAAGCACACGAACTATTTGTGGGGTGCAACTACCGATTTTATATATACTTCATTCAAATATTCAATAGTTATTTTGTATGAACAAGTTCCCTTTTTTTTCCCAATTTTTTATGTTTTGTAAAATACTTCAATACTTGGAGTGTGTTCTATTCTCCCGTCAAAAAAAAAAAATGTCTTCTATTCACCTGATTTTCACTGATCTGAACTTATTAAAACTTATTTTAGTTGTAATTTGTATTTGAGTAACTCTTATCAAAACTTATTAAATCTGATTTGAACTTAACTAATTTTATTGAAAATAAGTTTTTTTTTTTGTAAGAAACAAAGAATAGGAATATGACTCAATGCCGTCAATGGGACATACTTGATTTGAGTCTACCATACAATTAGTGTCCAGTCTGATAAAATAATTAAATAATAAATACGGCTGTAAAGGTGCTTTAAATTGGGGATCCCCAAACCTTTCTTATCTATCCATCTTTTAATTTGATGTTTCCGTTTTTATTTTTACATAATTTTATTTACACATTGACACATATATAAGCACAATTGAAACAACTTTAAAGTAAAACGTGCAATTAGTTTATATGGGCGACAAGGTGCTATTTGTATAGTCTGTATGAGCTGAGGTTCTGTAAACAAATCTTAAGGTATATTGAACTTTAAACAACTAAATACAAAAGGTTAAAACAATTGTTTCTAAAATTAATCGTGGTATTTTCTAAAATCTATCATGGTATTATTAGAGCCTCCGATCCGTCTAACATTCACATTTGAATGTTTTCAATTGATTTATTTTTATATGGAGCATGGCACTACCTAACACTCTATTACATTACTTAAGTTTAGTATATATCAAACTTGCACATGTTGTGTTAGATTATCCTTTATTAAAAAGTTATAGCTATGATCTTAGATCAAAGGGAAAATTCTTAATTATACATATAGGCATAAAATCCAAACAATGTTGACAATTGGAAGTAAAAAATTCGACGAGTGTGTCTATATCCTAGGCATAGTTTCACAAGAAGTAATTAAATAAAAGAGAAATTAATAATTTAATTAGTGATAAAATTGTTTTAAAATTGGGTTGACACATAAATTGGAATTCAAAGATGAAGGCTTTTGTTGATTATGAAACTACAATTTCTTGCCGCGTTTAGGATTTTTTAACTTTTTTGGAAAAAAATATGTGAACTTTTTTTGTAAATAACTAATCATAGAAAGATAGTGCTTTTTGAAGGGATAAATACGGTATTTTATAATGTCGTTTTTTTTTTTTTTTTACTGTTTATTTGCATGAAAAACTCATGCTTCTAATTCGTGCCATGTGCACGCGTGCGGTCCTCTTATGTACTATACTCCTTTTTAAGGGGACTATTCATAAAGTACTCAATATTTTGTTGAATGATATTGATAATATGATCGATTTTATTTCAATATAATCGCAATAAAAACTTGTTATAAATACGACATTGACAATTAATGTATGTAAATATATACTACCTTTGGTTCTTATTACTTGCAACAAAGGAATATTTTATGTCTCATAAATAATAATCTTTTATTGCGAATAATAAGAACCGGAGGTATTATATTTTGCTGTATTAAATATTACGTATGACATTTGATATTATGAAAATACAAATTAAATTAAATTTTATTTATATTCGTTACTCTAGTAAGAATTATAATCAATTTATTAAGAAAATTGAAAGTTATACCATTAGCCAATTTACCAATTAGTACGAGTTGATTTGAGTAACATTGCTATTTATAGAATCTTTAATATTATTTAGAATATTTAATGTTACTTAGGGCCTAATATGATACGTTTATTTTCATTTCATTTCAGTTCAGTTCAGCTATTAATTTCCTTCTCTTATAAAATATTCATTTCAGTTCAGTTCATATCAGCTCAGTTCAATCTATTAGAACAGACCCTTACATATATCTGATGTATGTTTACAATGACACTCGATGTTTTAAAATGGCACTCGAGTGATGCAAACCCTACCACCTATGAAGTAAAAGTACTTCATATATTTTTTTTTCATTCCCAATACCTTCCCATTTACTAGTGGGTCACATACCCACATTTTCCTTTATTTGTATGTGTCTGATTAGAATACGTCGTACCCCATCTATTTCATAATAATTAACACAATAACAATTTGATTTATCTACGATGCATAAACTTTGGCAATATATTTATACTGATTTAAAAAGCTCAAATAAACCAAATGTATTTCAGAAATAAACATTAGGAAGCCCTCCTTACGAGGGAAATTCCTGATGTGAAATATACCATATGTATGATGTATGTAAAATGTTGTTAATTTAGTATACATTGTGATTACTTTTTTAAAAATAAAATATAATTGTGATTACTTATAGGCAATTATTGTGATGCTTGCACATGATGACTATGGATTATTATTGATATTAGTAAGAGATCAACATTATTTGTTTGCTTGTTCTATATGAACTTATTTATTTTATTTGACCTTATTTTCATTGAAATTATTTGTCTAAAGTATTTTGTCAAATTTATTTTTTTCTAAACTTATTAGAAATTATCTAAACTTTGTTTTTATAAAATAATTTAAAATAAAATGAAACAAACAGACCCTAAATCACAGGTTAGGACCCTTTTCAATTCTTTTCCTCCCGTTGGTTCTCATCTTATACATAATTCTCAATCCCTTTTTTTTTTCCCACAATGCAAATTCGACCATTACCTTAGCTTATGAAATATACAATATAGTTATACAATTATTATTATTGTTTTATACTAGTATGACCAAACAACAAAACAAATGCAAGAGCCATGCATACGCTGGAAGGCCGTATAATAATTAAGGTAAAAAAGAACAATTTAAGGGAATTATTGAAAGGTTGCTTGCACATATATAAAGCAAAACATTAGCAGCAGCTTTATTTAAATTAATTAAATTGTGAATTTTCTATTTTAATAATAACATCCAAAAAGCCCATAAATTTTATGTTCCCTAAGTGGCAAGAAACCCATGCATATTGAGGGTGGAAGACACAATTGTGATACTAAATATTGAAAATAAAACACTTATAAGTATAATTTGGCCTGGTTGTACAACCCAATTTCCACAAATAATAACATTTTTTAATTTTGTAAAAGGTACAAAAACCACTTATCAGATTATCAATTGGTTTACCACCAAGTTGTCTGTTATAATAATGTCAATATTGTCAACTACATTGCCAACTTTGGGTGTCAACCAGCCTTATAACATATGTTTCCTCAAAAATACAATTCAAAAAACAGGAAAAAGATATATGCAGCCCTAATAAGAAGCTAAAAATGAAAAAATTTGACAATAAATAAACGTTTATTACACCGATATACTTGTGAATTGTCGATAAATTTCCAACTTAATGCTAAAAAAGGAAATATGTTAAATGCTTATATGCAGTCTTTTAAGGCTACATATAGCATTACCAAAAAAAAAAATCATTCTCTTCTGAAAATTGAAAACTTTTATACTTTGTATACAAGTATTATAAGTAATATACTTTGTAAAAAAAAATAATAAAATAAAATAAAAAGTAAATTGATTTAATGATACTTAGCATTACTTGAAAAAAAAAAAAAAAAAAAAAAAAAAAAAAAAAGATCACTTCCTTCTTTTTTATACATTGTCTCTTTCCAATCTGGCCTCAAATGGACAAAACCACGTTGATCTTTTTACCCATTATTTTGAGTTTGGTTGGAGAAAGGAAGGATTTCATTTGATTTAAATTAACGCCATATACTTCGTATTATTCTTTCGCCTAATGTCAATTGTATAACACGATCACATAGCTTGCTAATAATAAGTATATGCTATTAGTCTATTAGTAAGCTCATCATACTCGAGTCTTATAGTTATATTTAAAAATTAGTGTATGGTACGAGTGATATATATATCCCGATGTATCACTTCTAAACTCATATATATACCATGAGTTTTATCAAAATATTCAAAAACCACATTGTGTTTTCCAACTTATTTATAAAATAATAATTCCTTATATATGTGTGTGATGATTTAATTTGATCAAGATCATGGAATAATTTGGTTTAATTTGTGAATCATTAACGGTTTTGAAATATTTCGAGTCATCTAATAATCGTTAATTTATCTCTAAATTGTCATTATAACATTATCAAGCCTTTTTACACTACACTTCTTTTTCTACAAAGCTTGTAACATTTGCTCAATCACTCTTCCATATCAATTAGTTTACATCCTATGTATGGATCATTATTGTTGTCAACTTAAGAAGCCAATAGGCTACTTTTAACCCAACCCCAAGGAAGGCCTAGATCACAAGCCTTATGGCCCGATTCGCACATCACTTCTTACTATGTAAGTGGGTTAAACACACAATTCATAGATTATTTTTTTTTTTAAAAAAAACGACGACATTGATAATCGTGACTAATCACACCTTATAAAAAAATTTATTTCATTCATAAAGATTGGTCTTCCTAGACTGGACCCACATCTCGCAAATCAGTGTCTACAATTGGGTGATTAGACTTAACTATCTTAAGCTAATGTTACAGGAAAAACTAATGACAACAGCATAGTTTCAATTTTTGGCCAAAGCACTATGAAATACCCAACAAAATAAAAACAATTGTAACTCCTTTTCTAGCTAGCTACTTAGCTAGAAAAACCACAAATTGAGTGATTTCAACAAAAGATCAACTTGGGAAAACGCCAAAGCCGCATATAACTACATGAAGCAAGAATAAGTTGGCGTATAATGGTTAAGTAGTTGTACAAATTCTCTATATTTGTATACCTACAGCTTGGTTCTAGATCTACTTGTTATAGCTATGTTTGTACTTGTTACCTAACTCTTTTTGAGGTTGACAGACCAGATCGATCGATGGATCGATCTTTACATTTTGACACCACTTAACTTAGAAATTGATTTTGACTCCATACACGAATCGATTTTGACACTCACTCCATTTATATATAGGAACGACTCTTGATTATAAATTTAATTATTTCTTTTCTAATTTTATTAAATTTTTAACTAAAAAAATGGCAAATGCAAATTTATCTGTCATATAAACTAATTTTTGTTAATCTGATGACATTTTTGTAAAAATATTGAAAAAACGTGGTCATTTATTCAGTACTTTTGGTGAGCTGTCCAATTACTGTTTCCAACTTGCTTTTACTGTTTCGTGAGGAAATTACACATGTACCCCTCAACTAGTACATGAAAAGACACGTGTACCCTTCCATTTATACTTGAAAAGACGATTATATCCCCCGATAAACAAATTTTGTTTAACTGAGGAATTAACTGAGTACAACTCCTAAAAAAACAGCTTTATTATTTGTAAAAAACAGCTATATTCTACGAGTAAGTTCAATTAATTAAAAATAGGTAATCTTTGTATAAGAGTTCTTTTTCCTCCATGTCCCATCAGCCTTAGTAATCCCATTTTATCAGCATGCTCCTTACTCAACTAATCATACTGTTTAAAGTGATCAAAGTTATCTCACTATCAACTAATGGTGTAGATGACAAATGTATGATTTTTTTTTTTTTTTTTTTTTTTTTTTTTTTTTTTTTTTTTGTAATGCTATTCATAGCCCTTAGGGCTAAATTTAAACAATTTTCAAGAGTGTTTTTAATGTTTATATTTAGCCCGGCCTTAAGGGCTATGTATAACATTTTCCTTTTTAATTTAATCTTTTTCGAGGCAATGCTAGAATCCATCCGTAATAGCCCCGTCAGACCCATCACAATTGATCTTACTACCCTAATTAAGGCTAATTTCATGTGTTTGCACACATGTTCTCCCATATTAATTGGGAAAGGAAAATAAAACTATTTTACTTTTAAAAAAAATTAATTTTTTTAAACTCAAATTTTCTACTGTAATATATAAGAAGAAAATCCATCCTAGAAGGGAGATTTTAAGGAAATCCCTCATAAATGTCCTTGGTGAGATTCGAACCCTGACCTCAGGCTTGGAAGTTGGAGACCTAACCAACTACATACTCTAGCCTCCTATCTCATTTTCTACTGTGATATAGAATTAGACATTTAGAGTATATTCAAGTCACAAGACATTCATTTATTAGAAAGCACTAGTAGAAAAAAAGCATTAGGCACCGGTTCAAACCCGGCCTAAGGCACCGGTTTGAACCGGTGCCAATTTGGGGGGTGCCAAAAACCCAATTTTTAGCACCGGTTCAAAACCGGTGCCATAGGGTCAAATAGGCACCGGTTAACCGGTGCCATAACTTCTGTTTTTTTTTTTTTTTTTGGGAATTAAAGTCAATTGGCACCGGTGCCAATTCATGTATTTTTTTAAAAATCTTTCTTTTAGTTTGCTTTATCCACATACACACATAATATTTATCCACTTAAATGAAATGAATATTGATCAAAATTGATCATTAAATAAGAAATATAATCAGAAACATATAACAAGCTTGAATAATACGAAATATATTGATGATTAAATTGTTATTTTACAATACAAAAAAATAAAATAAATTACAACATCAAAATCCAGAAAAAAAAAATTACACGTCAAAGAATAAAAAAACTACAACATTGAAATCAAAATTCCAAAAGCAACACCTTGATTCTTCACCTGCATCAATTAAAACACCGACATTAATAAACTCACTGTAAACTAAAATTACGAAAATTAAGATTCAAACTCAGAAAAAAATTGAAATTCAAACCCAGAAAAAAATTAAGATTCAAACCTAGAAAAAAAAATTAAGATTCAAACCCATAAAAAAAAATTGAAATTGCAAAAAAATTAAATCGAAAAAAAATTAAATCAAAAAATGCCCAGAAATAAAAAAAAACCCAGAAATGGAAATAAATTGAAATCGAAAAAACCCAGATAAAAAATAAAAATTAAAAAACCTAGAAATAGAAAAACAAAAAAACAAAATCGAAAACAAAATATATTAAAATAGAATAAACAAAAACAAAAATCGAAAAAAAATTCAAAATCAAACATAAGAAAAAAAAATTACAGAAATCGAAAAATAAAATATCAAAATCGAAAACAAAACATATTAAAAGAACGATTTCCCATAATATTGTTGAAATAAAAATCAATTCCCATAATACATTGATTTAAAAATAAATTCCCTACATAGTGTCCACGTAGGATATTTTTTTTTTTGCTTTTGGTTCAACTTAAAACGCTAATGGTAATAGCGGTTTTAAAAAAGAGACCTCCTCTAACAATAACAGGTCTCTTTGCGTCCTTAGTTAATTCACAAGGCATAGTCTACAGGAAAATTATTTCAAAGAGACCGCCTTGCAATACGACAGGTCTCTTTGTGTCCTTGTTAATTCTTAGCCCACAACAAGAAAAGAGAGCGCTGGCAATTACACTTATAACTTCAAAGAGACCGCCTTTCAATAAAAACAGGTCTCTTTGACTTTATTTTACAAAAATTGCAAAACCGCTAATACCGTTAGCGGTTTTAAGTTGAACCGAAAACCAATCCTACGTGGACACTACTTTGGAATTTTTTTTTAAAACGAAGCATAATGGGAATTAATTTCTATTTTAACAATATTAAGGGAAATCGTTCCATATTAAAATCGAATAAACAAAAATCGAAAAAAAAAAATCAAAATTGAAAACGGAAAAAAAATAACCCAGAAATCGAAAAACAAAAAATTAAAATCGAAAACAAAATGTATTACAATCAAAATCGAAAACAAAATGTATTAAAATCAAAATCGAAAAAAATAAATCAAAATCAAACCGGTTCGTGGTGTTGCAAGTGCTCGTGGTGGTCTCCGTGGTGGTCTTCATGGTGGGCTTGAAGGAGAAGGAAAAGGAGACGTGGTAGCGAAAGGGAAGGAGGAGGAGATGAGAAAGGGAAGGAGGAGATGAGAAAATCTGGTGAATGATGAGCGAAAGAGGAGGAGAAGAGGAGAAAGAAAGAGAAGGAGAGAAGAGGAGGGAGAAGCGGCTTGAGTGTAGGGTTGGGGGGGGTTTATATATGGGAGGTTTTTTTTTTTTTTAATTATAATAATGCTGAACCGGTTTTTTTTTATTAATTGAGGAGCGGTTCAATTGGCACCGGTTCAAACCGGTGCCTTTTTAGTTTTTGGCACCGGTTCAGGCCAAACCGGTGCCTTTTCTCTTCTTCTAAAATCCCGCCCATTTCTGGACCGGTTTTGGGCACCGATTTAGCCTGAACCGGTGCCATATGGGGGGTGCCTAATGCTTTTTTTCTACTAGTGAAGTATTTATACTCACTAGTAATTTTAACTTATTAGACGTATTTAGTTTATAATTTAAAATTGTGTAACCCATATCAAAACTTATTTGAGCTAATTAACTTGTACTAAATAAATTTTTCTCAAAATAAACAAATATAAGGTGAATAATAGAACACAATCACAAAGGGTTTGTTCTATTCATTTTTATTGCAGTTCATTCTAATTCAATTCCTAGTTTCCTTCTCTCATAAATAATTCAGTTCAGTTCACTTTAGCTCAGTCCAGTTCAGTAAATAAGAACAAGGCCTAAGTCCTATCTCCATTATTAAAGAACCCTTTTGTTTCTTTAAAAAGAGTATTAAAAACCTAACCACATGCACATTTTATATTAATCCCAATTTTACTTTTTCAACATCAAATATTTTTTGTTCCCAAATAATTTTTACCTAACTTCAAATTAGATGGTGACATTTATACCAAAAATGTAATATAAAGACTCAAAACTAAGTGGCTTAAAAATGTAGCATCATATAATAGTCGACTAAAAATAGCATAATAATGGCATCATGCAACATAGCATATTCTTTAGTCTTGTAAGCAAACATAAATATATGGACTAAGAAGCATCTTATCTCTATATGCCATTTTGCCCTCTCTAACTAGCATTACTTGTAACAATTATGTTGAGAATTTTGATTTTCCACTCATTTTTTCAAAAAAATTTCTTCTGATCTATCATTTAATTTTTCTTGTCCATTGCTACTTATTGCTCCACTATACAAAATTATGCAATCTTTTTTTTGTAAAATTTGTTTTTGGTGTCTCCAATTATAGAGTGCCTAGCTACTTCACCATTTGTTTTATTCTTACAATCATTGGCTGCTTCCACTTTCATTTTATACTATGCATATTACTCTTTAATTCAGCAGCAATATCATAGCAACAATCAATTTTGTGTTGATTTTGATAAACATAAATCCATGTTATGTAGTGGTAGTTTAAATTGACAATTGGATCATTCATATTGAGTCAGTTTGGGTATAAGAGTTAGTGACACGACAAGGCCTAGCAACACCATTAAAGCCATTTTTTTCCCAATTCAACCGTCAGTATAAAGCTAAGGTTAGCAACACTTTTTATTTTTCATTGTTACTGACGTTTATTTAGTTTTTTTTTTCAATTCGAGTATCAATGTAAGACCAAGGTTTTTTTTTAATTTTTAATTTTTATTTTTTACTGGCCTTTATTTTGGTCGCAAGAGCCCTTCTTTGTAATAGCTGTTGAGCACGCATTTGGTTTAGTTTCTGCTTTGGTTATTTGAGACCTAGATATCTAGGGCCTTGGGCGCTAACCCAAGTTAAATCAAAATCAGATCAAGCTAATAATGTTGGATCAATATTAGCTCAAGTTAATTTAATATTTAGTTGTATCAATAGCAAATTAGACTTATAATTGATTGCATTGATATTTATGTTACATTTTGAATCTTCAAGTTTCTTTCCAATTTGGGTATTAATTGGATTATTCCGTATAATAATTATTAATGTATGAGATGTGACATCATTATGAACGATGTCCCTCATTTTAATGGTAAGCCTCAATTTTATTGGTCATTTTCATTGCCTTTTAGAGTTATTGCTTTATTAGTCTCGTATTTGATAATATTGCAATCAATAAATTTATCACATTCCCATGGAGCCTAATTTGTCATCTATATCATCAAAGTTTAGAAATTTGTTCTCTCTCTCTCTCTCTTTCACAGTATTATATTGAAAAAAAAAAAAGCAAATCCTATAGTATTATATGATTTTTTTTATTTTTTTTTGAAAACTTCAATTTAATTCGATTATTTAGGACATATATATTGTTATTGTAAATTCTTAAGTAATGTTTAACTTACTCTTAATAATAATAATAATCAGTATCCATTGACTGTGTGTTCGATCCTCTGCAACAATAATTGGAAGGGGATTGGAACCTACCCACCCAAAAATGATCCACAAATCTCAATTAGCCCAAAGGGTGAATCGAATGAAACATCAAAAATAATAATAATAATTATCCGTATTAATATATAGAAATATAACATAGGAAGTACAAGACAACACGTAGACGACCCTGCAAAGTATTGACAACAAATAAAAGAAGTCGTCTTATGTCCACCATTGCTAAGCATAAAATTGCATTATGGTAAACTTATAATTATAATATGGGCCATGCAAACCAAAAATCATGTCAAAATAAATCATGCATTTTCGGCTAATTCGATCGATAAATACGTTGCCCATGTAAATGTAATTGAGTTAAGTCACAGTCAAGATGCACTCAGATTGATATAACCCCACTTTTTTAATTTCCTTCTATGAAAATCACTCTCAAATTTTCAACTCTTTTTTATTGGATACTAAAAGTTTTTTAGTGCTACATTTTCAGCTTCCGTCCAATTAAAATTTCATAAAAAAATTAAAATTAAAATTAAAATTAAAATTCTTATGCGAAATTTATGCAATTTTGTCTGATTTTAATTTTTACCTATATCAAGTTATTAGCACTTTTGCTTCACTTTTTTGCCATTATTTTTGTCATTTTGTCTCAAACAAATCTTTCTTTTAATTATATAATCTTTGGAAGGATAATGGTCAATTTGTACATTTACTTAGAGGCAATATATTCCTAATTTTTTTATGAAGAAAAGACGGGAAATACTATTAAGTCAAATCAAGTTTCGCCAAAGTTTAAATATATTCCTAAGAAACTTCATAAAAATATTCATAAAAACAATTTATTCCAATTAAACTTGTTAAACCCCAAATAACATTTATATCATATTGTATTTAGAGAGTCCCAAGGACGGGAGTGAAAATTGATTCCAACTTTCTTTTCAATTTGGGTATTAATTGGATTATTCCATATAATAATTATTAATGTAGGAGTATTATTTACCTATACATCACAATCACATCAACTTTTCGTTTCTTTTGTGAGAAACAAAGAGAAATATATATATTTTTTAAAAAAGTTCTTATTTATTAAGTAATTAACCTCTCATAATTTATTTATTTTTATAATCTTTTTACCTATTTGTTTTCCTCCTAGTAATGGGGAAAGAGGCAGCCGCCTTATATATAAAAATTGAGATTACATACTTAATTATACGAGTAATAATCTAAGACCATATGATTTGACGCTTTCATGCATGATATATAACTCCTTGTCTACCAATGGCTACTAATTGCTAATATAATAATAAGTACCTAAGGACATGCTGCCATTTTTTTTAATCATACTTAACCAAAATTTTCTTATGTTTAGATATGCCGAGGTCACATCGCAAGAAAGTTTGACTACATGCAAGCTCGTCACAAGAAAGTTTGATTACATATAAGCTCAATTTGATGATTTAGTAAACTAGTAAAAACTATACTGTACTTTTTATTTTAAATTGTGGTAATATATGAAAATAGTCGTAAGTAATTTATCTTAAAAATTATGCTTTTTTGTGAGTATTGTGAAAACCTTAAATTTTTAAGTAATATTTATTATTAATTTACACTACATATGTAGTTTGATAATTTTCTCTTCGGTTATTTTTTTTATTTTTTTACGGGAATTATTTTATTTATCCTATTTACTTTTTGCACAGTTTTTATGCAGGAATTTATTTGAGTATTAATATGTTCAACTGTCTCATATAGTAACAAACAATATTTTTAAACAATAAATTGAAATAAATCCAACAAAATTTCACATAATTACATAAAAGTTGGATAAAATGGTTGTTGGTAAGACATCATGAAGAATTGAAGATCATGATACAAACTAATTTAATAGTCAATATGTTAAGAACTTAAAGATTATTATTAAACCTTCTTATGCGTTATGATTAATCTATTTTTAAGTCACTTGCTCCCCATGATTTTTGCACACAATTTTACACTCACAAAAATAAACAAAATAAAATAAAATTAGTCATAAAAATAAATTACTGTATTTAAATTTTAAATTTTAAATTACTGATAATAAATTACTGAATGATTTCCCTTAATATTGTTAAAATAGAAATTAATTCCCATTATGCTTCGTTTTAAAAACAAATTCCCAAAGTAGTGTCCACGTAGGATTGGTTTTCGGTTCAACTTAAAACCGCTAACGGTATTAGCGGTTTTGCAATTTTGTAAAATAAAGTCAAAGAGACCTGTTTTTATTGAAAGGCGGTCTCTTTGAAGTTATAAGTGTAATTGCCAGCGCTCTCTTTTCTTTTTGTGGGCTAAGAATTAACAAGGACACAAAGAGACTTGTCGTATTGCAAGGCGGTCTCTTTGAAATAATTTTCCCGTAGACTATGCCTTGTGAATTAACCAAGGACGCAAAGAGACCTGTTATTGTTAGAGGAGGTCTCTTTTTTAAAACCGCTATTACCATTAGCGTTTTAAGTTGAACCAAAAGCAAAAAAAAAGATCCTACGTGAACACTATGTAGGGAATTTATTTTTAAATCAATATATTATGGGAATTGATTTTTATTTCAACAATATTATGAGAAATCGTTCTAAAAAAAGCAAGAAGGTGAAAAGAGAAAAAAGAAAAAGGTAGAAAAAGGCATTGTATTTGCGGCTTGTCTTTTTCTTAGACGACAAACTCTGTTGCAACTATGAAGTTTCTCTCTTTTTTTTTCTATTTTTTTTTTCTCTGTTTTTAAGT